ATTAGATGAACAAGAGAAGAGAATGTCATGCATATAATTAGTCACCAATACCTCAGGAAATTTAATCAGCATTGGCTTAACATCCTAGTTACAATTGTTCCTGTACTAGAGATTTGCCCTGTTTTAATTTCTCCCCATAAAGGAACCATTGATCAATCTATAATGAGTTTTTTTCCAATGTTAGGGGAAAAAAAAAACAAAATAACTAAGCTCTGGGGCAGCCAAGCTAGCTCATGGTAGAACAGCAGAGCCCTGCTCACCATTCCTTGCAATTGATGTGTTGCATCAGATGCCATTCTGTGCTGTGCTAAGCCAAACCCAGACCCTGGAAAAGGCAATGGGGCTGGAGAACTGTGAGTTCCAGTTTGCTTGTTTGAGAGGACAAGCCACAAACACATGTGGCTCGCCTGCCAGCCTAGCCAAGATGTGTCATGCAGAAAATGTTTTCTCACGCTCATTTATTTATTTTTTTAATAATTGACAGGGATTTTTCCTCCCACTTTCAGGAACTCTCTTAACTTTAGTTCCTATGTTTACAAAGTTGCAGAGCGGTAGTTCTGAATATTTTGTTTTCTGTTTAACAAACATTTCAATAACTTTACAAAATGCTTTATTGCAAAGGAATGAGAAGAACCCATGTTAATTCCACTCTCTCACTTATGGTTGTCAATCCTTGGGCAAGAGGCTGAGTTTCCCAAACCGCTAATTTCTATTTAAAGAAAGCATTTCTTATCTTCTCGAAGAACTGCACTCCTTTTATTGATATTTGTGGTTTTCCCGTGACCACGTGACTGTTTCCATATCTACTTTTGTGGAAAATGTCAGTATTTTGCTGATGGGAATTGCATCGATTCTGCTGGTTGCTGTTAATAACATAGTCACGTACACCGTGCCATTTGTCGGTCAGCATGTATGGCAGTCCATTGCCTTTTGTATTTTTATCTTTCATTTCTGAGTGCCTTAAAAATTTCCTCATAGAAGTAAAGTTATCATTATTTTGGCTTATTCCCAGACCTTCCTGAAGCAACTTGAATGGGTCAAATTGTCATTATAGATTTGTAGAAAAACTAGTCATTTTATGTATTAGTTTTGTATTTTTTCAATAATAGCTAAACACTTGTCAAGTCTAAGAGTTTCCCATGGCATCTGTGGGAGTTTTGTGTGTGTCTGTATCATCACTACAGTAGAGTTTGGTTCCTTTCTTTCCTACCTGTATTTCCGTTTTATCTTTTGACTTACTCAGACTTTTCTAGCTCACTTGTCTATCCCTACAGTAAATGGGACTGGAGAATGCATGCATCTTTCTCCTCTTTGCAGTTTTTCTGCTAATGCTGTTTATTTTTCTGCTGCACTGTACTGTTCTGCCCTTACTGTTTTGAGCCATGTTCCATTTCTTCCTAACTCCTTTAGGAGTTTATCACAAACTCATCGAATATTGAATGTTGTAGACATTTCCATTTCTAATGAGATTTTTCATATCACAGGGATTTTATTCCTTATATAATTTGTTTGTTTGTGTTTTTGAGACAGGATTTCTCTGTGTAGCTTTGAAGCCTGTCCTGGAACTCACTCTGTAGACTCAGCTGACCTTGAACTTACAAATATCCGCCTGCTTCATCCTCCTTAGTGCTGGGATTAAAGGTGTGCACCACCACTTCCCTAACTCTTATATGATTTTTTAAAAATACTCCGTTGGCAAAATTACTGGTAGCATTTTCTTCCCTCCTGTTAGAAATAGCATGAGTTGGACATGGTGTGTTTCTCCCAGCTCATCCTCTATTGATCGATTCTTTATATAAAATATCTTTATTTCCTGTTTTCTCATGGATCATTTCTCTCAGATTCTTCTATGTATAGTTTACCTCCAATTATGATCTTTAGTGCTGCTTGAGTGGGTGACATGTGTTATTTCATAACATCCTTCAAATGCACTTCCTTCTTCATGAATTTTCAGAGTCTACTTCTCTGGGTGCACTGATAATGTCCAAAGCTATTTTCTTTCATCACTCTAAATATATCTTCCCATGCTCTCTTGTCTATAGAAATGTCGACAATATCATTTTTGTTTGGGGGTTTTGTTATATGGTTTAGCATTGTCTGTAGCAGGGTTATATTAATTTTAGCTTTTTTTTTTGACATCTTGATGTAAAATGTCAAGAAGAGTTCCAGTCTTTGGTCCTAAGACAGAAACTCAGAGAAGAGCAACAGAGCAAATGGCTGCTTCTCCAATAAGTGCTCCAAAGGTCAGTATCATGTCCACACTACTTAAAAAAAAATTTATCTAAACCACGCAAGCCTTTAATTGCCTGCCTCTAGTAGAGCAATCTAAAGTATTTATTTCCTATTATTTTTTTCTTTTTCTTCTCTGATAAGTAAGATTAAACCTTTAAATTTTGTCACCTACATTGCTCATCTCTGTTCCTTTGTGTCCTCCCTTGATTATTCCTGTGAAGACATATATTTTCGATGCACTTAAGACCTACAGTTCTGACAGATTTGTTATGAATGATGATCAAAAAAATGTATTGATGCCAAGTTCCTACAGAGGATGAACTTGTGTCTTTTAGTGACGAATGGTCTCGTGTGCCACATGATTGACATTGCAGGGATAATAAAGTTTCTAGAACCATCTTATGAAAGTAGCCCTAGAAATACATGGACCATTTGGATTACATCACTGAACTATTTATGAAAAAGTAGAAATAAAGAGACTCAGAGTATTGAGTCCTCGTAGTCAATATTGCAACACTCTAGAGAGTGGAGATGATGGAAACAATATATGGCTTGTTATTGCCAGAAAACTGACGTTTCTGAAAGGAGATGCAGATTGCAGTAGAGTAGATTTTTTTTCTTTGCTATTTGCTATCACACAGTGATGATGGGTGTGTTGACACCTGAAATTTTTCTTGTCTCAGGAGAGGTGCTGCTCAGTACTCAGTGTGAAGTTCTCAATAGGCAGATCGGTGTTTTGTCTTTTAGTTTTCAGGCAAGGTGTAAACAGTCCTGCTCCCACCTCTATATTGCATCATGGAGAATATATTAATAAGAATTTTCCAGAGTTATTGACTGGATGCTGTGCACAAGCCATGAATTTTCAAACATAAACAAATGTTCTTCTTAATGACTTTGCTCTCTTTGGGCAGAGGAAGGCTCTTCCCCTTCCCCTTTATGTTTTCATTCCCTGAAGATGTTTATTACATAGGCAGAGATTCTGTAAAGAAGTTGCAATGGACAGGTTTCCATTTCTTACATTTAAAAAACAGAAAAAAAGAAAGAAAAGAAAAGAAAAAGAGTTGAATTTACAAGATTCAAATTTTTTTTCAAGATTCAAATTTTTAATTGAGGCAATGTCATGAGCAATAATATTTTCAAAACTGATGAAGAGTTAGTATCATTCTCACACAACTTAATGCAATCATGTTAATCACAGAAAATCTATTTCATCTGAATGCATTGTCACATCGTACATGAATTTACACATTTTTTCAAACTATTGTGTAGTGTACCCCTATATGGAATTTATGAAATTATAATTCATCAGTATTAGTTTTGTCGACTTTTAGAAAAATGTACATAATATTAATGTTAATGCTGATTTTTCTATTTACTTGATGTTTATGAAAATATTCTAATTACAATAACTGCACAAGGTATTTGAGTCGATGTGTTGTTTGAAATGTTGGATGTCTACACTAATGCTACCCTCTTTACTTTTTAAAAAAACCTCTCTGACTTTTAATCTATCCATGTATTCTGCATTCTATAGTCTGCCTCTTTGCTCTAAAAAGGATGCGGCATTGTATCTAGACTTCAGGATTTCAACTGAGCATGTTAGAAGAGAGTCAGGTGAAGCCCATCTGCAGACAGAATTGATACAGTATCCATATTTGAACAAAATCGGCAGTTGTAGAATTTGGAAGCAGTTTTGCTCATACATTTTCATATATAATGCAGCAATGTGACCCTTTTTGATATCCATATAACCTTTATAAAAGGTACATCCTGCAGTTAGACCTCAAAGGTGCATTTTACAATGCCTTACAGTTTGCTGATTGTGAGTCTATTATGCTATCTAGTTCTCATAAAGACAATATCAATTGTGACTATTCTATTAAAATTAACTTTCACTTTTATTTTATATATGTGGATATATTTGCCGGAATATTTACATGAATAGTATTTGTTTTCTGTTCTGTAGAGTTCAGAAGACAGCATTGGGTCTGGTTGAACTGGAGTTATAATCTATTAAATAGTACTTTGTGTGTACTGGGAACCAAACTTGGGTTCTCCAGATGAGCTACTTCTGAACCATCTCTGTGACATTGTTAGAAAATTTTTGTTTTTGAATAATATTATGCCTCATCTATATCATGGAAGTATCTCTAATTCCCTGGATCTATTTTATCTAGGAAAGCAATTTGCCCACAAGCACGTGGTAATTGGGTAACTTCCCATTACAGGGTCTGTTGACATTCAGAAATGTGGCTGTGGACTTCTCTCAGGAGGAATGGGATTGTCTAGATTCTTCTCAAAGGGCTCTCTACATGGATGTAATGCGGGAGAATTATAGCAATCTAGTTTTTGTAGGTAAGAATACTTTTCTTGTAGAATTTCTGACTTTTTCTTTGTATTTATCTACATTATAGGTATGTAAACTCTCTAATCTATCTAGAGACTGACAGAAATAAGGGAAATTCTGATAATAGCCATAACTTTATGTTTTCAGTGTTCCCTACTAGAGCACCCAATGTGCAATCTCACTGACACCCTTATTTAGTTTTTAATTTTAACTTAAGTATTGAATATTTGAATTTCAAAGAAATTGGGATAATCAAAGTAAGGACATGAATTTTATTTTTACTGTTGGATTAAGCTATTTACCTATTTCTAATTTTTAAAAGATGAAGAGACTTTAAAATCAAGAAAGAAATGTTAGTTGTGTGAATATTGTTGTTTATTTTTTACTTTTCTTGAGATATGGTCTCTAGTCCTGGCACAGCATGATTTCAATCCTGTCACTAGGGAGGCTGAAGCAAGTGCATCTGTTAAGTTCCAGGCCAGCCTGTGTTACACAGGGAGTTCCCAGCTAATGAAGGCTACACAGTGTGACTCTCTCAAAAATATAACCAAGGAAAAAAGAGAAGCACTCTCCATATGATCATTAAGGGCTCCTTTCTCAAAGTACATTATTGCTCCAGCACCTATTTGTTCAACCTTCTGCAAAGTATGAAGATTAGATTAAAATGTGGTCCTTGTGGTTTAATTGGAGATCAGAGTAAAGATCCTTCTGAGCATCCATGTAATGATAGTGAAACACACAAGGCCTCGAGTAAGAGTTCTGTTCCGAAGATTTGCTAATTTATTTGTCTTAAAGAACTTAAGGATGCATCAGTTATTGAATCTGTTTAACCAAACATAAATTCTTATTATCCCTAACTGTGCTAATTTTCCAGAGAACCATTGTATATGTGGTAAATATGAGAATGTCTTGGATCAAGACTCAAAGCATGTTGTGCATCAGCATATGTATATTCAAGAGAAGTCTCACAAATGGTATGAGCCTGGTAAAATGGTTCCTAAATCCTCCCAATGTATAACTTCTGACACAAGTGATACTACAGAAAGCTGCAAGAATTACAGGAATGGTAGTCACAGGGATTCTTCTACTGAGTTATCAAACCTAAAGAGACATAAAAGTGGAAGCACCGTAGAAGAACAATACAAATATAAAGATTACGGGAAGTGTTTAAGTTTGTGTTCCACAATTAGTCAATATCAACGGATCCACACTAGAAAGAAAGAACACAAAAATACAGAATGTGATGAATTTTTTGACCCTAAACTTGAACACACAATTGAACAAATCCATAGTGGAGAGAAAGCATACCAATGCAGGAAATGTGGAAAGTGCTTCCGGACCTATTTGAGACTCAGTAAACATCAGAGAACTCATCCTGGAGAGAAACCCTATAAATTTATAGAATGTGATAACTCCTCTCTGCATTTGTCACACCGCAAAGTACATTACAATATCCATCATGGAGAAAAACCCCGCAAATGTACAGAATGTGGCAAGTGCTTTTATAATTCATCAGGCTTTAAAAGACGTTGTAGAATCCACACTGAAGAGGAGACTTACAAATGTAAAAATTGTAGAAAATCCTTTATCTGTTGCTCTGGTCTTAGAAAACATCAGAAAATTCATGGAAGAGAAAGGCCTTATAAATGTAAACAATGTAGTAAATCCTTCTATACATTGTCACACCTTGAATACCATTGCAGAACCCACAGTGGAGAGAAACTTTACAGATGTAATGAATGTGGCAAATCCCTTTCTACCTCCTCAGGTCTTAGAAAACATCAGAGAATTCATACAGGAGAGAAAATTTACAAATGCAGTGAATGTGGCAAATCCTTTACTTTCCGCACATCTCTTAGACTACATCAAAGAATTCATACAGGAGAGAAACCTTACAAATGCAGTGAATGTGACAAATGCTTTATCCAGAAAGTCAACCTTAGAACACATCAGATAATTCATACAGGAGAGAAACCTTTCAAATGTAGTGAATGTGAGAAATCCTTTACCGTTGGCTCTGGTCTTAGAAGACATCAAACAGTTCATACTGGAGAGAAACCTTATAAATGTAGTGAATGTGGGAAATCCTTCACAATTGTCTCAGATCTTAGAAATCATCAGAAAATTCATACTGGAGAGAAACCTCACAAATGCAGTGAATGTGGGAAATCATTTATCTGGAAAGCTGATCTTAGAACTCATCAGAAAGTCCATACAGGAGAGAAACCTTACAAATGTAGTGAATGTGGAAAATCCTTTACCACTGGCTCAGGTCTTAGAAGACATCAGAGAATTCATACAGGAGAGAGACCTTACAAATGCAGTGAATGTGACAAATATTTTGTCCAGAAAACCAACCTTAGAAGACATCAGAGAATTCATACAGGAGAAAAACCTTACCATTGTAGTGAATGTGGGAAGTATTTTAACACTGACTCATATCTTAGAATACATCAGAAAATTCATACTGGAGAGAAACCTTACAAATGTACTGAATGTGACAAATACTTTATCCAGAAAGCCAAACTTAGAATACATCAGAAAATTCATACAGGAGAGAAACCTTACAACTGTAATGAATGTGACAAATGCTTTATCCAGAAAGGCAATCTTATAACTCATCAGAGAATTCATACAGGAGAGAAACCTTACAAATGTAGTAGATGTGAGAAATCCTTTGCCATTGGCTCGGTTCTTAGAAAACATGAGAAAATTCATACTAGAAGAAACCTTACCAGTGCATTGAATGTAACTAGTCCTTTGTCCAGGAAGCCAGGTTTAGAACTCAGCAAGGAATTCGTACAGGAGAGAACCTTGTAAGTGCAGTGTATATAGGAAAGTCTTTACCCACTCCTAAGAAAACATCAGAAAATTCAAACTAGAATCCTAAGTTTCCATATTAAGTAATATGGCCTATAATTTATCCAAGCTCTGTCCTTATGGACCAATGCAGATTCCACAAAAGAGAATCAGTGTGAACATGAGAAACTTGTGGAAGCCTTTAAGTAATGTTCAAAATCTTAGAAAAATTAATCAAGACTTTATATTGAGGAAAATTCTGAATATGTCACATTGTGGGAAATTTTTTTTTTAAAAAAATTACTTTTCCGACCACAAATGCTTCATACTGAAGACAAAATGGGGAAGTCTTTAGAATGTCCTGTTGTATATGGAGACTGAAGCATTCTATCCAGTAGGAAAGCTGATTAAGACAAGAAATAAACCATTCGTAATTGCTTCAAGAAGTTTCTGAAACTGACAAGGTTCACTATGCTTAATTCCATTGAAGAAACTTTTATTAGTCTTGATGCTTCTACTTCAAAGAGGCTTTGATGAATTGAGCCAGTAAGATACAGTGCTCTTTAAATGTACATATGCCTGTAAGTGTGTAGTATGCTGTGGGTATCCAGCTTTCAAAAGCTATATTTTATGCTGCCTTGGAGTTTTGTGATGGCAACTTTGAGTAAACTTTACTCTTGTAACCAACTCCAGTCCTGTATTTATGTAAGTAAATAACCCAATAAAATCCATTGGTTCAACAAGATAGATTTCAGTCGAAAGCATGCTTGGTTCTGTGGTCAGTTCCAATTTTGACTGATTGGGTGCATATGAATTTGTCTCTCCCCAGGAAAAGTCTCTCATACAACATTTGCTGAATGTATTAATTGTTCCTCCAAACTTGTACGCCAGAAAATTAATGTTAGAGAGAAAGTATTTGAGTCTACTAAAGAAGGAAAGCTTACTACTCAAGTAGTAAGTTTCAGGCTTACTACTATAGTAGTACATGGTTTCGTTGAAAGGGCTCAACACAGACAGAATGCAGAGGATTAGGGAGGCTTAAGAAAGAAGGCCATTCTCCCTTGCATGCATCGAAGAGAGTGAGAGGTCTGCAGTGGAACACATGAAAATATATGTACAAACCTGTGTTACTGACAGACATCATCCAAACAGGGCTGTGTCTGTGCATGACTCTGAAATCATGCTTAGACTCCATGATTCTGTCAAGTTCCAGTGACCCTCAGACCACTGCTGTTTCATGGGTAAATACTGAACACCATTGTGCTAGCTTTGTGTCCTACTGTACCTTAGAAATACCACTCTACAAACCTAAACAAATGAATCAAATTTCTTTTCTTAAATCCTTTACATGATGCTAATATTGTAGACATATCAGAAAATTCAACATTAAATAAAACTCAAGAAAATACTTTAATAAAAACACATTCAGTCAGGCAGTGATGGCATGCACCTTTAATCCAGCACTTGGGAGGCAGAGGCAGGCAGATCTCCATGAGTTCAAGGCCAGTCTTGTCTACAAAGCAAGTTCCAGGATAGCTAGGACTTTTAAACAGAGAAATCCTGTCTTTAAAAATAATAAAAAGGCATATTAAGCTTAACTTTATGTGTGAATCCATCTGTACAAATATTAAGAGTCTACGGAGCTTTAAAAAGATGACCTATGAGCAAGAAAAGGTGCACATGCTCATATTCAGCTTAGAAATCCCCCAAGGGTGTGCTGGAAAATCACTTTGAAGTACTGAAAAAATATGGTAAAGTATTTAGTCCAATTCCAAAGTACTGTATTAGAGTATTGATACTAAAAACAGCAAGACTCAAAAATATTAGACCTTAGGCAAGGCAGCATGTTACATTGCACAAAACGATACCACTGCATAAATGTTGCATGGGTTTCAGTACAAAAGGATAGTTATATTCAACTAATGGGGAAATATTGTTTAAGAACATTTTGGTGTTCTCAGTATTTGTGTTTGTTGAAACATGAGCTCAAATGGTTAGTACTACCTTGAATAAATTAAGGCTCTTGTTTGAAAATGACTGTAATAATTTGTATCAATCGCTGCTGTATATGGGCTGATTAATCTGAAACTGGGGACAATGGAAACTTAAGGCTTCTGGACTGGCCCTTTGCAATCTGGAGAATGCAACCAACTGGGCAGACTCCTAGGATGCCAATTTTAACTGTTCCATGTATTGAGGCTTCTCTGTTGACATTAGATGAATTAACCCTACCTAATTTATCACATATTTCCAGTGGTAAATTTGTAAACTTGGGCACAAAGAAAATTTCTCACTTTGTATCCCTCACACAACATTTATAAACACAGTTCTGGTGTATGATAGCAGCAACATGTAGGGAGACTGGGTCGAATAGGTCCAGGGCAGCCTGATAGCTGGAGCTGTGTCAAAGATAGCCTGGATAGAGTAGGAAAGATGGCTATCAGTGTGGCTGAGAAATCACCTGATCAGAGGAATGATGGGGAAATGAAGCAAAGGTTGTGTGGGCTTAGAAAGCTCATCAGCATTTGTGTAAGTACATGGTGAGATCTACATTACAGGAGCTATGATATCTCAACCATGAGATTATGGTCTGGAAAACCCAGCATTCCCGAGGTCCCTCTAGGAGCTATATTGTTCAGAACCAAATAGAGGACGCAGATGGTATCTCCATGTCTTATAGGGACAGAGAAAACTCCCCTAAGCTGCAGGACATACTTCTTGACATCTGGGATACTTATCAACAGTGCAGTAGAGGAAACTGCCACACAGTGGCACTGCAGGGTTGGGAAACATTCATTGTCAAACCAGGGGTTTGATTTGTATTTCTACTGCTGTGCAGGACACTGGCTCTCAAATTCTGTTGTGTATATTTACCCATGTCTGTAAAGTTTAGATCATATGAACTGGTGTTTATCAGGATTCTTTTCATTTATCTTATGGTTGCAAGCATAGTCACAGAAGAATAACCTGATAGAGCATTTGCATTATCTCTTGTTTACAAACATGTTATTGTGGTAATTTAAATTCATCCATGATTTCTAACTCCCATCTTCTAGCACTTCCCTATTCAAGACAATGGAATTTGCTCCTGGGGCTGGTATCCAAAGAGCAGTTTTGAAATTAGCCCCATGAGGAACCAGGAAGTATTTGATTAAATATGAAAATATACTTATAAGCAAACACAAAACATACAGAATAAAGAAAGAATATTAAGAGATGCAAAGAAAAAAGGCAGTAACATATAAAGTCAGACATATCAGAATTACACCTGACTTCTTAATGGAAACCCCTAAAGCCAGAAGGTCCTGTGCCGATGTGCTGCAGACAAGACAGTGAGAGACCACCAAAGCAAGCGCAGACTACTAGACTCAGCAAAGCTTTCAATCCATAGATGGAGAAAACAAGATATCCCATGACAAAACTAGATTTAAACAATATCCGTTCACAAATGCAGCCCTACAGAAAGTACTAGAAGGAAAACTTCAACCCAAGGAAGCTAACTGCACCCACAAAAGCACAGGCAACAAATAACCTCACACCAGCAAATCCAAAGAAGGTAAACATACAAACACACCAAAAGATAACAGGAATTAACAGTCACTGTTCATTAGTATCTCTTAATATCAGTGGACTTGATGTGGGATTCCCCTCTGTATGCTGTGAATATGTTTTATTACCATTGGCTAATAAAGATGTTACTTTGGCCTATAGCAGGACAGAATATAGCCAGGCTAGAAAAGAGAGATAGAGAGAAAATCGGTGGAGTCAGAAAGACGCCATGCAGTTGCTGAAGGAGACAGACACTAGATCTTTAACAGTAAGCCACAACCACGTGCTGATACATAAATTAATAGAAATGGGTTAATTTAAGATGTAAGAGTTAGATAGGAATATGCCCAAATCATTGGTCAAGGAGTGTTGTAATTAATACAGTTTTTGTGTGATTATTTCGGGTCTGGGCAGCCAGGAAACAGTTGAGCAGGCGCCTACTACAAAATGGCACAACAACGTGGGACAACTACATTCACATAAAACCAGAGAGAGGTTGGAAAGGTTCTAGACACAAAAGAACAAAATGGTAATGGCATTTTGTTTCACATGGGCTGCATTTGCTGACAGCAAACATGGGCTCCAATGGCTCCTTTAAGAGAGGTTTTCCTGACTCAGCATTGGCAGCAAAGACTACATGGCTTCTTTAGGGGGGCATTTCCTGATTTGCTGACACAAAAGCTTCTGGTTCTATTGGGAGATGCATCCATGGAGCATTTGAATGGGGTGTTTGAGCAGATTGCTACAGGTTGATTGATGGCGAAGTAGATCCACTGCATACCTGTAGCTGGGGTGAAGAGCATTACTTGTAGAGCTGGCAGTAAACATACCTCCACAATGTTAGACTGGGCAAAGGCAAAAAGCAAAGCAGCCTTAGTCCTAGCCATGCCTGCTTAGCAATTAAAAAAAAAAAGTATTCCTGGTTTTCTGGTCAAAAAATGATTGCAAATATTACAGATTTACACACACAAAAAGACAGATTCAGAAGGAAAAATTCCTCTGAATGGGTCAGAGTGTTAGATAAATGTATATAGACTTGGAAGAGAGAAGAAAAAAGAATATAGTCATTTAAAAAAAAAGTAAATGGTTTTTAAAAGTAATGTCTTTAAAGAGACAGAAAAGTAAGCCATGTAAAGATGGAAAATACACAGAGAGTCTGGATTATTTATGTTATTGTGTTTTCTTTCGACTGTGAATGAGCTAAGTACAGAGGGACATACAGGCTGCTAAGTTAAACCAACATATATATATATATATATTTAAAAGGTGTCTTGACTTCAAAATTTGAGTGTAAGGATATGTTACTTTGGAAAAGAGATTCTGCTTTTGTTTCCACAGAGGAGAGAAAGCCATGGATTCCTTACTGGCTAATATGGTTTGATCATACAAGACCTCTTGAAGCAATGGCCCAGATGGTTCAACATCCATGACAGCTTCAGGAATGCATGCTGAGATGGACCTACCACACAGGATAACCCATAAAAGACATGATTAACAGTATACCCAATCATCAGGAAGTAGTCTAGAGAATAATGCTCAAATTTCCTAAATGATTGTTTACAGATGTTTCTTTATATTTAAAGGTGAATGTGCCTTAGAGATGAGTACTTTGAATTGCTGTACATCTTGGTTTATTGATATAAATTTAAGTTCAATGTTGTTTTATAGATAGATAGATAGATATAGATATAGATTTCTGCCCTCAATTAATTGTGTTTGTACAGCTCATTTTAAAATGTAATTTATAATTAAGAAATACAGGTTAGTAGATAGTCATCTATAATAGTTAGGCTTTTAATCAAGTTAGTTAGGTTTTATAGGTACAAAGAGATATATTGAAGGTGGATAGGTATTCTTCAAACTTTTCAAAGATGTACAAAATATGGCATTTGCAATATTTTAACAATTTATGACTTTATATGACAATGAGACACATCTGCTTCTGGCAGCACTAATCTACTTCAAGGGGATGATGGGCATCAAAGAGGCTCCTTATGGAGTTTTTTAGCCATTTGGACAAGAAAATGCTCTTGCCTGAACTGCTTGATGATATGCTATGTGAACTGGACATGCAGAACACATAGAAAAATGACTTGAATTTGCCTAAAGATGAGAAAATACTTCAAGGTTCTTGCTACATGAAATACCTGCCGATATTTTTCAGGACACGGAAGAAAGCATCTGATGAACTTTGCCAT